ACTAGAGTTCATGTTAAGATCTCCATCAGAAGGTAAACAGCTTCTTCTTCGGAACTTCCTGAACGGGCTCGTGTGTCAGTTTTTCTTCTAGGCTTCTTTCAAGGTATCCGTTTACGCTTAGAATGTTGGTAAAACTGCCATTCAAAGGAGACGACTTGTCTGATCTAATTTAGGAGACGTTTGGCGTGCGCGCTGAGAGGAAACTTTAATGTATCCAGTCTGTCATGCATATTCGCAGGCTCACCAATAATGTGAAAATCTAATATAGTCAATAGGGTGGAAAAGGTGTCGCAGGAAGCGTAATTCTCGTTCACTCAGCAGACTCAGGTCACCAAGTGAAGCCTGAATCAGCCTTCAAAGTTATCGATCGAGTACCACTTCACCCAGCCAAGTCGCTGCGTCTCCACACCCTAGACACTGCTGAAGCGATCGGCATTCGTTTGCTTGCACCCAATCTCTGTGCACAAGAGATCGGCCCATGCCATTCAGCTGCCGTGGTCGAAGATCGATCGCACGGATGACGCATCACAACCAGATTGCATTGTGGTGACCTAGTAATGTGAAACACATCGCACATCCCACATCCCTCTTCCTTCCAATCAATGTGACTTTTGAATGACTGAATGTCTATCCTCGTTCAACATGCCACTTCTTTATATGATCATTACCGGCTAGATGATTCGGTGAGAACAACTGTTTGCTTCTGAACGTATGTTTTCGTGTCATAATGAGCATATTCTGGAATTTAAGTGAAAACTCGCAGATTGGGGACGTCAACTGGAGCTAGATTCTTGGGTATGCGCCTTTGGGATACAATACCAATGGTTGATGTTTGCACAAAGCAAAACGGAGGGCCCCGAGCGTACGAGCTAAACACGCCTGTTGTTCGCACACTGAAAAAGGGCTAGGTGGGAAGTCAAGAATGAAGAAGAGTTTCAGCTTGCGGAGGAATTAGTAGTACTCGAGGTAGGAAGCGACAGACTGAGAGAATTTCTAGTTGAGTAATTACTATTAGTACGACTGTCTGTAGGTGCCGATGGCGGCAAAAATGATGGGAATATCAGATAGAGGAAAGCTAGGGAACCAGAAAAATGTGCACGGTTTTCTGTGATTGCGGAAAGTTGAGTGTCGATTCGTTGAATGTCCATAGCACACGGTTGAAAACGAATCAACACCTGGAACAGGGATACTCAGACACAAACCAAGAGTTTAAGCAGATAATCACCGTTCGTTGCACATCTCAGCAGCCGTCTCGAAGATAAACATTTTGCCTAATTAAAAACCTCATTCGAGTGGTCAGAAATCCTTTGAGTATCCGCTTCTCAATTCATAAAACTTAATAAAACTCCTAACTAAAAAAGAGAATAGAAATAAAAATCATCAGGGGAATGTTTCAATTCACGCTCCTACGTGAAAACCTTTGGAGTAACCTGGCTCCTTTCGCCTAGCTAACCGATCACAAAACTGCAAACCACTTACGTGCGAAACAGCTGCGCAATTACTCAGCACAAGACCACTGCTTGTCGTGTTGTATGACCTCAACGAATCATCACTCTGTTCCCCAGGAACTAAAATGCAAGCAATCTGTCCTACACCATGTTCTCATATTCTTTCCGGTTAGCTATGCACGTCACAATCGCGTGTAACAAACTTCAAAAACGCAGAGATTTTCTATCTCATCTGCATGGTATCTGTTACTTCATATAACCTACAAATTATAGAAATCGGCGAGACAAGTGATCAGAAACGATGATTATCCGAACGCACCATAAACTGTCAGCGAGAAACTATACAAACAAGCATACATCGAACCACGGAATGTCACCCTGGTTATAGCGGCTAAAATTGAAACGATCTATTGATTGACACCGTTGGTATATCATTAAATCCAACTCAAGACCGGCGGCAAGTGACTCGCCTGACTAAATATTACCCCGGTAAATTTCGGATTTATCAACCTCATATTACATCATCATTGCATCACATTCCACAATTCATAAAACATTCTGTTTCGAGCATCACGGCTTTTGGTCGAATCACGCTTGTGTGGAATGTAAACTCAGGTGTTTTCAGAATCAAAACCAGCTGATGCTGCTCACGCTGTACAGTACATTCCTTAGGGCGATGGGCACTCTAAGGGACAAACCGTATAACAATGAGGAACTTCAGTTACGAAAACCAACAGCAAAAGTTCCAAAGGACTAAGCAATGGTCCTTTATGATCCCAAGAATAATAGATTATCAGACGATGACAAGCCCCGCATTCGCCAACATTTTGATCAAAATGACTGTTCTGCACCAAACAGTCATGGTCAGGTCTTTATTTTTTAACTCTCTTCGTAACTTAGACTTTGTCATTACTAAGTTGTGCTTCTCGGTAGTCAGTCTAGGAAGATCACTCATGTTAGGAGGCACGCATCGACGTCCATTCCCTACGTTTTAAATCGTCCTGCAGGATGTCACTCCCTTTCCACAAAATGCTACCACTTATAAAAGTATATGACAATGTCCCATCCGGAGGTAAGGATGAAATAAGAAATGATTTGCTATCGTTCTCCGTCGGCCTCGCTATTGCACTGAAAATGAACCACTTGATTGTCCGCAAGTAATCCAATATCAGGCAGCACAAAAGCGGAGAACCGTGAGTTTGAGTAAGCTAATGTCGTGAACAGTTTAATGAAACTGAGACCAAGGCAACCTGAAACGTTGATTGATCTTCTCCTTTCTTTCTTAAATTCAAATAATCACGATGAACTTCCCGATATATGATTCGAGTCGATTTTAATCGGCATTACTGTTGTCCTTCGGAACCCAAGTGCGATAGATTCGCGCAGGCAAAGCCACTCGGTTGTATTGGTATTCAAGTAGTCGCATGAGTAAAAGTTAATGAGCGTACTACAATACAACTAACAAAATGGGTGAACATCGAACAGGATAACGTTATCAACTGCCCGACGTCTTGCCGCGCAAGCTTATTCCTGAGCTGCTTCTACTACGAGTGGGAAACAACCGGACAGCTGAATAAAATTAAAAGTTACATCCACGTGTTCTCGGAGGAATAACCGATGTCAGAGCTAAAGCACGTGTCTCTTGCAAAGCAATTGTGACTCGGGTAGCCTCAATGCAGTATTTAGATCCAGCCTTATTAACAAGCGATTCGATGGCTTACTAATTGCACTGAAGTGCATGAGGCTCGATATTTTGTGAAATGGGCGAAGCGAACAACAACGAACGATGGCGAACTCCCGGAAACGATAACGTTTACGAACCACAAAATATTCAGTAAAGAAAGGAAAGTCATATATTCTCATCGCTCTAGAATGGATCAAACAGACCTGATTAGGGAGAGGGAAAATAGGGGAATGAAAACTGTGTTCACTTTGTGCATAAGTCTATGCGAGAGTCGATGGAGATGTGTAGTTGGTGAAGGTAAGCAGTTAGCAATGAAGGATGTCTGAATGCTGAGGGTAAAGGAAACAGGAGCCTAGTGCTGAAAGGTCCATAAGTTATACGAGTATCCACCAGGAAAGCTGTACAATAGCATTAATAACACGAGTTGCCAACTGGATCAGAGACCGGGGTAAACGAAAAAAACAGGAAAGAAAAGTAAGAACAAGAAATTGTCTTAGGGACAGGTATAACTTATTGATGATAGGAACAATCGATAGAGACCATCAATCACCCACAACGTAAAACACAGGTGACAGAACGGACAAGGGAGAAGTGTTCAAATGCGAGCAACGGCAAAACACAGCCATGAGGAGAGTAAAGAAAATTGTTGACGTATGTGACCGTTCCAAACTAACACGCACAGTTCGTTAACAGACGATGAATGAAGTTATCGAACACAAGTGGCAATAACTAGAAAGGCGATAGCGACCGATTTTGGCAAACAAATAAATAGAATGGGGTTGGAGATGCCGATGTTGTGGTAAGCAGAGCTGAATAGCGCGTACAGTACATTGACCGTACTCACAATCTCAGGTAGCAGAAACAAAATAGTGTTCAGCGTCCCAAACTGTAAACAAACGTAACCATAGGGCACGGAAGTTTAATTTTGAGAAGGATCGACGATGATATGGTATAGTGAATAGAAGTCTCAGGGTCAAATGGAAAAGTTAGACGGGGAGAGAAAGGATGGAATAAACGAAAGTGAGTTCTACACCGAATGGAATAGGCGTGAAGCTAGATGAACCAACAACTGGAGGAGAAGACAATCTGGATAGGGCTTTTTGACACACGAATTTTTCAAGGTCACAGAGGGACTGAGTTTATGTGAGATAGGATGTAGGTGGTACATTAGGTACAAAGGCAGCAAGATAAATGATTGCACACGGACAGTATTTTATGCGGTTAGTTACTGACCGACTAGTTGGTCAGTCGGTAATCTGAAGGATGCATGACGAAGACAACATAAAATCGTGACAGAAACGAGGCCTGGTATTCCAGTCCCCGGCTGCTAGCCAGGAAACCTAACTCAATAAATGACAAATCTCTCCCATGAATTACAGCCCATGACCACGTACAACTTATGGAACCGAACGGAACATAGTGTGATCCGTTCCATTTATACAGTGATTATTTGTATTGCTGTGATTGGAAGTGATTACGTTTGTGCGTTGTGATTGAACCGTCAAAGTATGAGGTAGAACAACCGCAGGTAAGCAAGGAGAGACAATTGTTGCTGCAGATAAATAGGTTGGAGTTGTACCTGGACCTATGTTGCTTGCATAAGATATAGATGTAGCCCGGACAGCTTGAACGGTTTGTTCAGGAGCAACAGAAGAGGCGCAATGAAGCTGAGTAGGAACTGAATGTATTCGTTGCTGAGTTTGTGGCTGCAGATGAAGATCACAAGAGGTCAGCTGCGCTGGATTGATCACCGTCATCTGCGCTGAAGCGGCCGTATGAGCGGGGCCTGCGTTTGGGGCGATAGATGCAGGACCTACAGTGCCGATGGAACTGACTAACGTTTGGCTCCGATCGAGCGATGCCACTGATGATTGAACCGCACTCAAATTTAGCTGACGAGAATAAGTGTTCGGATGGGTTTCGGATACAAACATTACAGGGGTTTCACTGTTCAACACAGAGGATCCGGGTGCAATTAGGGAGAATGCGATCTGGGATTGAGTCACTGGTGTTGCATAAACTGTTTCCGTTAGCGGTTTGGAAACGGGAGCCACAGTGCGTCTGGGTACGACAACTGTAGCTTTGTTGAGCGAACGATCCGGTACGTGGTCAATAACAGGTTTTGTTTGTGGTTTCAAATGAACGACGTTCGGAGTGGCAGGCTGAGGATAGCTCGGAACGGACTTAGTGCATATTAAGGACCGTGAGCCTTGGGTATTAGATGAGGTGATTGGATTATTACCCATTGTCGGTAAGACCACGTTAGCAGCCTTTGAATGCAAACTGTGAGCCGAATCCAATCCTGTCACAGATGTGGTGGCATTCGGTACTAGCTGGTTAGCAGCAACTTGGTTGGACATCGCATTCAGTGAACTAACTGAAAGCTGTCGGATACCAGAAAAGTTGGCTGTAGGTACGACGGTTTGGTTCGGGCTGTTTTTTGCCGATAAAGACACTTGCGTCGCACTCGGGAGTGGCGCACTAGTTCCATTAGTTTGAGTCGTGGACGATGGGGCGGAAGTGGATACTGGGACAGAAAGAATATTAGGAGTCGACGTTGATGGAGTAGGGCACAGAAACATTTGTGATTTGTTCGAACTTGGGATAAGTAAAAATTGCTGTTGTGTAATGGTCGCCTTTGGATTGAGGCTCTGAAGCAAAGCCACAGCTTCAGACAAATTGTCGCCATCAACAAAGAACGCCCGCGTTGTGGTGGATGGACGATTTTGGGAAGAGCCTACTAAGAACTTTGTGACTGCTGCTGAAGCTGAAAGCTGAGTTGTTAGAGAGACCGCTTGACCAACAGCTGCTTGAGATCGAGTAGCATCTACGGATGTGGCCGAACACGTAGTTGAGACAGGAGGTGAAGATGAAGCAACTGTGCTTAGTGTTGGATACGAGTGGCTCGTACGAAGCTCGGGGACTGATGACGATGATGATAATAGTGATAATGACGATGATGATGAAACAGATGGTAGCACTGATGGTGGAGGAAGAGGTGGCGGTGGTAGTGGTGGCGGCGGTGGTGGGGGAGGATGCAACTGATTTGTGACGGTGGAGTGTGAAACAAGTGTTGGGTTGTTCACACTTAGCACGACCGTGTTCCCCGACGATGTTGAACTAACGGTACTGGCGCAGGACTGGACCTGCCGGATAGGGCTGTGAGTTTGTGAGTGCAGTGTTGGTTGCTGCACAGGCACACTCGGTGCGACGGTAGAGCTGGGAAGGGTTAATAATGAACCCTGTTGACTTAGGCGAGTGGAACCGGGATTTGGAAGCGTAGTAGATGGGGTAGATGCGGGTACCAACGAGCTGAATGAAAGCATCGTCTGTCCAGCTTGAGGTAGAATGGGAGTTGGTGGCGCGGAGACGCTTTGTTCTTGTTTCACTTCGTTGTAAACTACTGGCACAGTAGTCTTTGTGGGCTGTGGTGAGTAGGCCGAACCGGGAACATTACCAGAACTAGCTAGTATGCCACTGGATGAGTTAGTAGAAAGTGGCGAGGAAGG